AAAAAACACCAATGCACGTAAAAGAAAAAAAGAAAAAAAGAAATAGAAAAAAGAAAATAGGTCTTTAAAAAAGTTTTGAGGTCACCTGCTGTGAAGTAGAGATCATTATTAGGGTGGCTCTGGGGGACCAGGCAAAACAGAGTTCTAGGGGCACAGGAAGACTTCATCTGCTTAGAAATGGATCCCCCACCCAAAGTTAGCAAATAGAATACGAAGGGACTCCTCTCTGCCCTCCCCTGCCATCAGTGTGAGAGCAGGCAGTTTCCCTGCTTTCCAATAGCTTTCCTGGAGAAAATCTGCGGTGCGAGTTTGGTGGCCAATACACTTAGTGTGTGGTAGTAGAGGACGTTTTTCATGTCCATTTTGACAGTTCTTCCCTATGTACAGTGCCCTGCGAGCCTGTCTCCCTCAGCCTCCTCTTCTCCTTCTCCCCCTCCTCCCAACCGCTCCCCACTCTACTTCACGTCTGCACATCTTGTGTGCTTGTATGTGTGTGCGCTGTATGTCTCTGTGTATGTGTCTGTGTATATGTATGTGTGGTCTGTGTTCTGTCTGTCTGTGTCTGTGTGTCTGTGTTTTTCTGTGTGCTGTATATTTGTGGTCTGTGTATCTGTGCTGTTTGTGTGTATGTGTATGTATATGTCTCTCTTTGTGTGTGTGTGTATGAGTGTGCTCTGCCCCCTCTGTGTGTGTGTATATGAGTGTGCTCTGACCCCTCTTAGTGTGTGTGTGTGTGTGTGTGTGTGTGTGTGTGTGTGTGTGTGTACCATAGTATACAGTGTAGAGTAAGAAGATAGCTTATGGGATTCAGTCCTCTCCTTGACCGTGTGGGCTGTGGGGTTGACTTAGTTTGCCAGGCTTGTCCCAAGCATCTTTACCCAATGGGGCCATTTTGGCTCTCTCTTAACAATCCAGCAGACACTGCTTAGTAAGCACAGGGTTAGAACACAGAGATTTGCTATTTTCCAAGATGATTTCCATCTGCAGAATCCTGTCCCACTGCACACGTCTCTAGACAGCTGACATCAGCAATCAGCATCACTGCAGCAGACTGGTGTCTCTCGGGCACGGCCTTCCTCTGGGTCTCTGGTGTTGCTAGACCTTGCACAGTGCCATTCCGCTCCACGGCTTCTTTCTCCAATGTAATAGTGAATGAGATGAATGGTTATAGAGTCAAGGGACTTCTAACACAGCAAACTGGGGGAGAACAGCCCCTGCTTAGGGAACATGGTGTCCATCCTCACACAGGTCATCACTGACCACAAACAATTGTGACTGGGCCCTTGCAGAACATGGGGAGGCAGATAGTGACGCTGGGCGTGGAGCTTGGGGACACACAGGAGCTTTGTGTGAGCGGCTGGCAGTCCAGCTGGCATCAGAGCCCTCTATTTACCACACAAAGTCAGAGACCCAAGAGGCGGTAAACCTGCGAGGCAGAGGTCAGAGCTGTAGATGGGCCAGACTTAGCCCTGAAGCAAAGACTGAGGGCAAATGAGGAGAAACTTGGGCTTGTTTTTCCCAGATTTGAACAGTCCATTCATCACCATTGTTTACCCCCCATAACTACAATGGCCTGAGAGCTGTTTATAAAACAAAATGCTCATTTTCATGTTTATACAACAAAACATATGTAAATGTTGCCTGCCTTTTGTCTGTTTCCATCTGATGAGATTGGACACAGTCTGGGAAGTACAGTGGTAGACTCCCTTAAGTCACTGTCTTTTTTTTTTTTTTTTTTTTTTTTTTTTTTTTTGGTTTTCCGAGACAGGGTTTCTCTGTGTAGCTTTGCGTCTTTTCTGGAGCTCACTTGGTAGCCCAGGCTGGCCTCGAACTCACAGAGATCCACCTGGCTCTGCCTCCCAAGTGCTGGGATTAAAGGCGTGCGCCACCAACGCCCGGCTTAAGTCACTGTCTTAAATCATAAGACTTTTGTTTCATTTCATTTTGTTATTCGAGACAGGGTTTGCCTGTGTAGTCTTGGCTGTCCTAGAACTATCTCTGTAGATTAGGCTGGCCTCAAACACACAGAAATTCATTTGTCTCTGCCTCCTGAGTGCTGGGATTAAAGGCATGCACCACCAGAAAATTGTGATGATATTTTATTTGTGCTGAAATGTGGTGATACTTTATTTGTGCTTCAATAAATAAAGCTTGCCTGGAGATCAGAGGAAAAAGCAAGACATTTTAAATAAACAAAAAAGTCAGGCAACAGTAGCACACGCCCTTAATCCTATCACTTGGCAGGCAGGGATCTGTCTGGATCTCTGTGAGTTCAAGGCCACACTGGGAACAGAGCCAGGCATGGTGGCACATGCCTTAAATTACAACACCAGTTAACCATGGAGGTCTGAAGGTCTGTACAGACAGACAGGAAGTGACAGAGCTGGGCAGGAAGAGGAAGTGATGTAGCTGGACAGCGAGCAAATCAGATGGCAGAACAGCAAGACATATAGGTGTGGGTAGACAGGAAGTAACTCGCATTTGGAAGCTGCCGAGTTAGTGAGGTAAGGTTGGCTGTAGCTTTCCCTGTTTCCCTGATCTCTCCCAGGCTTCTACTCCTATATCTGGCTCCGTGTTTTTTATTTAATAAGACCATTTAGAAATTTGTCTACATAAAACAATGTTAAAAATTTAAATTACGCCGGGGCGGTGGTGGCACACGCCTTTAATCCCAGCACTCGGGAGGCAGAGGCAGGCGGATCTCTGTGAGTTCGAGGCCAGCCTGGTCTACAAAGCGAGTTCCAGGAAAGGCGCAAAGCTACACAGAGAAACCCTGTCTCGAAAAAAAAAAAAAAAAAATTAAAATTACAAGCCGGGTGTGGTGGTGCATGCCTTTGATCCCAGCACTTAGGAGGCAGAGTCAGGTAAATCTCTTGAGTTGCAGGCTAGCCTGGTCTACATAGCAAGTTCCAAGGCAGCCAACACTACATAGTGAGATCCTCTCTCAAAACAGCAAAAATAAATAAATAAATGCAAAATAAAAACAACAACAAAACCACTAGTATATTGTTTATTTATTTATTATGTGTGTATGTGGTAGGTACATGTGTCTCTGATCTTCACACATCTGGTGATCTCACCTCCTCCTGGTTAGCTTTGTCACCTTAGCACAGCCCAGAATCATCTGAGGAGGGACTCTCAATTGAGTTAGCTGAGCATGAGCCTGGGGTGACCCAGCAAGCAGCGTTCCAGAGTCTCTGCTTCACATTAATAAATAAGTGTCCCCCACACCCCCGTGGTAGTTTGAATGTAATTGGTCCCCAAAAGCTCATAGGAAGTGGCACTATGGGAAGGTGTGGCCTTGCTGTAGGAAGTGTGTCACTGTGGGGTGAGCTTTGAGGTCTCACATGCTCAAGCCACTTTCAGGAACGAGATATTTACACATCTGCACTTGGTGGCCGGGACTGGACAGGTGGTGTTTCTGTCCACACACGAGAGCCATCTGGCCTCTGCGTTTGCTCTCAAAGTGGAACCAAATGCCACCCGTAAGGTGGAGCCACCCACGGTGAGGAACAGCCCGAAAGCCACAGTTCCGTACAACATGGAGTGACTTAGAGCAGGCACAGCCGATCTGCACACCAACCACAGGCCCTCCAACATGCCCGATGCCATAGTAAGCATACTGCCCAGCACACCACAGCTTGCCCCCCACACTCCAAGACACACACACACACACACACACACACACACACACACACACACACACACACTCATGCACGCCTGCCTTTATACACAGGGTTTCAGCTTAGCATGTTCCTCAGTGCTTGACAAGGCTCAGTCTAACTGCCATCTTCCTGTCCATCATCTGAACATCAATCTGTCCATCCATCCTTCCAAATGACCCTCACCTCCATGGTCCCAAGCCTCAGCTGCTGTGCCCTATGGTTCACCTTTACAGGTCTCTGGAAGCTCTTCATCTGAATTCCTTGCTACTTATCTAACCACCTTGTCCTAGTTAGCTTTATCTGGCAATTTGACATGCCTAGAATCACCTGAGAAGGAAGTCTCAACTGAGGGACCACCTAGATCAGATTGGTCTGTGGGCATGTCTGTGGGGGATTTCTTTGATTATTAGTGATATAGCAGGGCCTACCACTGTGGGTAGCACCATTCCCTAGGTAGGTGGTCTTAGGCTCTGTAAGAGAGCTAGTTGGGCATGAGCCTAGGAACAAACAATATTCCTTTATGGTTTCTGCTTCAAGTCCTCATAAGTTTCTGCCCTGACTTCCCTCATGATGGATTGTGACCTGGATGTTTAAGCTAAAATAATTCCACTGCCCACTCCCCACCACTAAGTCCCTTTTGATCAGAGTGTTCTATTAGCAGCAGAAGGAAGCTAGAACACACCTGTAGTGATTCTGTCTGTCTCAGCTTTGCCTAGAGTGGGGCCTCTTCGGCTCTGAATCCTTTTGGACTCACTCTCCCACCTGCATAGATATGGTTTACAGCGTGACGTGTAATGTTTGATCTGAGAGCTAACACTGGTCATTAAATTTGGCACAAAAACCCTGTGTTCAAGAGAAGTCAGGATTACCCAGAACAGCCAACAGAACCTTGGAAACATTTTGTTAGTGCGTTTTGACATTGTGGGAAGGCGTAAGCATATCCCTCCATGTCTCCAGCATAGTGGGCTCATGGCCATTCTGTGAGATGAGCAGCCGTGTGGTATGGAGAGGTGTGGCACGTGTGCATAGAGTGGTGAGGGATGAGCCTTGGTGAGGGGGAGGCTTTGAGTGGGGGTGTTGACTACGTGGTGGTGGGATGCTGGAGTGAGCATGGGCTGCAGTGTGGATGCGGTGTGCTCGAATGTGTGCGTGGTGTGGCTTTAGCTTTTGTTCAGATTTTTCTTTCACTCTGTTGGCCTTTGTCCCTGTCTTTGTTTGGCCTTTGTTTTCTCTGTTTCGCTCTTTGTTCCAACTTTCTTTAGCTTTTGTCTGGTCGTTCTTTAGCCTTTTGTTTAGACTTTGTGTGGCCTTTGTGCCCTCGTCTTTGTGTGGCTTTGTTGTAAAGTACGTCTTGGTTGAGGACCCATCAAAAACACTTTCTGTAACGAAAACCCCGACGCATAGCCTCTCCCTATATATTCTGCATGTGTGGAGGTTGCCCAGCTCCACAAGGGCCTGGTAGCCATAGGAATCTCTTTCACACAGCAGCTACTACTTGCAGGTAAGAGGACTCCCGAGGCTCGCGTGCAAGGGCACACACTCCCGCGGGTGGCAGGGGAAGCCTGCCACAATGGCAGTGGGGGGTGGGAGGTTGTAAAAGAATGGAGCTAGTGGAAGAGAGAAAGAACACTCCTTTACTCTGACCTGGGCAAAGGGGCCTCCGACATGTCCCTGTTGGTGTCTGGGTTTGCCTGTCCCGGGAAACACGCTTGTATTTTCTTGGTTTTACACCTTTGTTGCTGGAGAGAGATCAATGGTGCTGTTGGTGTCTCCCCCAGCCCTATTTCTTCTTTTATTTATTGTCATGACTTAAAAATGAGTTTTTGTGGGTCTCCACCTCTCCCTGAGGATTTATGTTCAGTTACTGGCTAACGGGGAAGAGAGACACTGTCCCAAATCATGCAACCCAGTAGCACTGGATAGTTGCCCATGTTCCTGTAAAGAACCCTAATGAATCTCATTGGATTTTACCCCTCCCCAGGGATGAAAACCATGAAAGTAGAAGGGGAGGCTAGTTGGGACGAGGGAGGGGATCTTCAGGAGTGGAAGGAGACAGGGGAGAATGGATATGGCATAGATAGGACTGAAATAATTATGTATATGTGTAAAAATGATATAACAAAACCCACGATTATGTACAAGGAATATATGCCAACAAAAACATTTAAAAAGGAGTAGATGGAGTTAAAGTTAAAAAAGAAATACAAGTGAGTTTTCCTTCTTCCTTAGGCACACAGCTGGGTTTGTAAGTTGGGGTGTGCAGCAGTGAGACCTAACTGCAGTGATGATGTTATTGCTCTGTCTCATTCAGAATCTCTCGGAAGTCATGGGAGTCTTCAGTCTCTGGCTGAGGGAAAAAGTGAAAAAGATTTGGGCCAGGGGAATAAAGCAATGAACTTGGCTATAGTATTAGGGAAAAAAATGGAGAAAAGGGTTTGAATGCTGAGTGAACAGCACAGGTAGGCACGAAATGGGCTAAAGCCAGGTGCACAGATCTGCTGTTTGGGGAATATTTAGGATGCAGGGGATTGCTGGTGAGTAGATCTATGGAAAAGTTGCGAACAGTGTGAAGATTCCAGCTGTGCCTAGTTCATGCAAATGCTAATACTCTCCACATTTGCCTGATTACTCTTTCTGTATGTGCAAACACCTGCGCCTTGCCCCTCCCCCAGCCATTGAGATGAAGTGCACACATCATTGATGTCAGGAGCATACTAATCTGCTGTATAATCTACAGCCTCCCCGCCCGCCCCCCCCCTCCCCCCAGCTCACTGATGCCTTTAGCAGCCTGTCCAGGCTCACATATTGCTTTTGGTTGTCTCGTCTCTTCAGATTCCTTTAACCTGCAAATGTGCCTAAGACAGCCATTCTTTGACAATCTTGTTTATTGTTGTTGTTGGTGATGTGTGTGTGTGTGTGTGTGTGTGTGTGTGTGTGTGTGTATTATGAATGAATGCCTAGGTAGACTCATGTGTGAGTGTGTAGAGGTTAGAAGCCAATGTCATGTGATCTCCTCTATCACTTTCCACCTTGGTTTTTGAGACAGGGTCCCTCCTTGAGCCTTGTTAGTTGACCTAGAGGGGTTTGCTGGAAGCCCCAGGGATGTGCCTGTCTCCACTCCAGTGCTGAGGTTAAAAATGTACGGTGCCCATGACTGGTTGTTATGTGGGTGCTGGGGATCTGAAATCAGGTCCCTCATAGCAGCTACATTACCCACTGAGCAATCTCCCCAGTTAAGATATTGGCAGCTTGGAAGCTGTTGTCAAATGTCCTTGAGTGTTTGGTCTGAACGAAGCTGAGAGGAAGCAGCTTTTGATAGAGTTATATTGGCTGATGCTATGACCAGGCTCCTGACCAGTCAAGACACGTTCTCCATGGCTCCAGCACTTCCACTCAACACAGATCTCACCCTCATGGGAAAGCATGGCATTAGGGACCGTGACTGCTGTATCTAAAGAGTCACCTGTAGTTTGATGAGTTTTATGCTTAACGGTTTCTGGGGCTGGGAGCGTAACCCAGTTAGTGCCTGTCACGCATGCACAGAGCCCCAGGTTCAATCACTGACACTGGATGAACTATATAGTTGCAGGGACACATACCTATGATCCCAGGACTCAGGAGGATCGGAAGTTCAAGGTCATCCTCAGATATACAGAGAACTGGGGACCAGGCTGGGCTAAAGATCCTGCCTCCAAACAGACAGACAGACAGACAGACAGACAGATTATGTATTCCTATGATGAATCATTCAGGGGTGTTAAATGAAGGTGTTAGACCCCTCCCTTTTCTCAGTTAAAGCAACTGAGGGTCAGGGTAGAGAGGGCTTTGGAGGCAGGGATCTGGGAATGGCACCTGCTCCCGATGTCTAGAATTCTGCTGGGCTGAGACTGGACTAGGGTGATTGTACCTACTGATCATGTAAACTTTTAATCCAAGCTCTGTTAAGAGTGACTAGGATTTTAAGGGAATACCTAAGATCTCCATACATGGAAATGATAAGAAACTCATAAACATTTGCAGCTGAATTGCCCTTTGATATAAATGAATGCCATAGTTGTATATCCTTGAGTTTAATGGGTTTGAGACCAAGCATCTCCATGTATTCCAACATCCACTCCCAGCACAGACTTCCTTGGTGGGAATTAAAACCTCAAGATGTTTCTAAGGCCAGTTAGGTCGTCTTACTTCTCAAAACCTGTGAGGCAGAATATACACACATCTCCCAGGAGAGAGAACAGAAAGAGGCCATCCTGTGATCACACCTGACCACAAGGAATAAATCCTTTCCTGCTTTTTACTGACTAGTCTCTTTAACTGGTCCATGAGGACAGAAGGTCAAGTGTAGCTAGTTTGAGCTGCCAGGGTCTGTCCAGCTCTGGTAACCGCTTTAGGTATCCTGATTGCTGTGTTAAGGCCAGAGAAATTACCACGTGGCTTGGCAAAGGCTTTTATTTTGTGTTTTGATTTCATGTGTATGGGTGTTTTGCCTGCATGTATGTATGCATACCATGTGTGTGCTTGATGCCCATGGAGGTCAGGAGAGGATCTTGAGTCCCTGGATCTGGAGTAAGGATGATTGTGAATGACAATGTGGTTGCTGGAGACCAAACCCACAGCTCAGCTGGAGCAGACAGTGCTCTTAGTTGCTGAGCTATTTCTACAACCGTCAATAAAGTGTTTTATAATTAGTTAAACATTCCCACGATGAGCCATCTTGGTGTGGAAAGGAGACACAAAGTCCCATTTTTCTCAGTCAGAAGAGTTGTAGACCAGGATATGCAAGGTCTGGGAGGCCAGGAAAGTCTTGTGGTTGAGGGTTAGTCTGCTTCTCACAACGTAGATGTTGGCTGGGCCAGGTCCCTTGGCTTAGACCCCATCAGCTGGGCTCGGAGAGTGACTCCATCTGCTGGCTGTGCAGCTTATCCCGACTCCTGCTGTTCCTGTGGTCCTTAAAGCATCCAATAACAATTCCGCAGCATCTATGCACAGAGTGACCATGGAACCAGCCTGCTTAAAAACTAACCTGGATGTTGTCACTATTCTGATAGGAGGAAGCCAAGGGATGACAGGTAGATTTGTTATTTGTAGTTCCCAGCAGCATCTGCACCTTGGGGCCTCAAGAGAGGCCCTAGCTTTCTGAGGGACAAATGAAAACCAGGTGTCAGAGCCTGTATTTATATTGTCATTATTATTGTTATTATCATTGTTATTATTGTTGTTATTGTTATTGACCTACATTTTAAATCTTCCTGGAGGCCCAAGTTCACTGAAAAAACAGACTACATCACTTCCCCTTAAAATCCATGTTTCTTCACAATGACTTAGTCCTTCCACAAGGCAACGGCAGTCTCACAAGTGAATAACCCACTAAATCATAGAACCACAGTGCCTTCCCAAAGCTGAGGATATGCAGAAGTGGTTTTCTTTTATGCCTCAGTTTACCTGCTACCACATGGAGCTTTTCATTGGCATCCAGGTTTCCGGTAGTCACACCTGGAATAGTCTTGGCACCACCAAATACTATTGATTAACTGATGTTAACCAGTCACTGATGTGCAGTTAACTTAGTGTTAAAACTTGATGTCATCAAGAGGAAGTTAAAGAATTCTGGGGCTATGGTATGCATGTGGCCACACACAAAATAATTTTAAAAATGTGAACAGATAATTTAAAGAATTCTGAATTAACTGAAAGTCTACATTCAGGCATTCTTCCTCTTTGTTTTTGATTTTTGATTTTTTTAAATATTGTGGCATGTTTCATTTTCCACTCATTCACCCATTCAATTAACAAATATTTGTTGGAAGTCCCCGTGAGCTAGCACCTGGAGATCCAAGTGTGTGCCAAGCTCAGGCTTCACATTTTAGTGATAACATTCAAAGAACTGCACGGGAACGATATTAAATGTGGAGGAGAAAAGACACCTGGAAAGGTGTAAAAAGGAACGTCCTAACAGTCCCAGGAAGTTCTTGGTGATGAAGAGGCCTCTGGCCACACCAGGCCCTCACGCCTGCACAACAGCTGCCTTATCAACTGAGCTGTCTCCCCAGTCCTGACTTAAAGCTTTTTACTTAAGTTAACGGATGGGTGTCATTTTTTTCCCCATAGTGATAAGATGGTACACAAATTAGCACGAGGTTTGTCCTTCATCCCCAGACTTTCAGACAGTGTCCAGATCCATCACACTCCATCTTAGGACTGGGAGAGCAAGTCTCCACGTGAAACACACTTGACTGAATTGCAACCAAGTCGAGCACACTAACTGACCAGTGTGTGCTACCACCTCATTCCTAGGGGCAACGACGAACCAAATGAGAATAAAGACAAGCTGGGAACAGAGTCCTGGCCGCCGGATGTGTGCGGATGAAAAAACAGGTATGGGTCTGCATCTAAATTGTCACATAAATGACTGCAGGTATTCAGAATGTCACAGAAGAATGTAAAATCAGCAAGAGGCTGAGTAAAGGCACCATCCATAGTCACTGTTTCTCTTATTTCTCCACCCGTCCTTCCCTCCCTCCCTTCTTCCCTTCCTTTCTCTTGAGATAAGGTCTCACTATGAAGCCCTTGCTGGCCTGGAACTCCATATGTAGACCAGACTGGCCTAAAGCTCACAGAAATCCACCTGCCTCTGTCTGGGTACTGGGATTAAAGCTGTGTGCCTTTATGCCCAGCAGCTTAAAAACTTTTTATAGCTTGTCAGTCATCTTCTGGTATTCTAGGTCCAGAGAACAGAAACATGAAAACAAATTCTCTGTGTTAGAGAAAGCATTTGTCCCCTTACACTCCCCTGTACACACACAATAGCCGTTCAATGGAAAAAGGGTGTTCTCTCTCAGACCCTCGAACTTTACTCAGGGGCTCCCTCTGTGTCTTTGTCTGAGCTGGGTCTTCCCAGTCTTGTTGGAAGGAAGTTTCCTCGTCTCTGCAGTGGGGGCTCTTTTGTACCTCACATCCCTCCAGCTTTGAGAATGAGGTCAGTGTCATCCTTCCCTTTACAGCTCCTTCCTCTGCCATTAAACCAGCATTCAAGCTTGTGCTCTGTTCCCAGGGCGGTCCTCAGCTGGCTTCCCACTCACCTTCTCCACTGATGGTTTTTAAATAGAATTTCCCTCTCTCTTTTTGTCCAACTCATCCAAGGATTCAACACTCCAGTGTATTATTACCTTGTCTCATCCGTGTAGCTAGAGTTTTCCTGCCTTGCCCACAGTCAGGACAAATCTTTGTCACCCGCCAGTCCCACAGCCGCTCAGACCCAACCAAGTAAACACAGAGACTTATATTGCTTACAAACTGTATGGCTATGCCAGGCTTCTTGCTAACTGTTCTTGTAGCTTAAATTAATCCATTTCTATAAATCTATACCTTGCCACGTGGCTTGTGGCTTACCGGCGTCTTCACATGCTGCTTGTCATGGAGGCGGCTGGCAGTGTCTCCCTCCACCTTCCTGTTTTCTCAATTCTCCTCTCTGTTAGTCCCACCTATACTTCCTGCCTGGCTGCTGGCCAATCAGTGTTTTATTTATCAATCAATCAGCCACAGCACCCTGGCTTCCCATTTCACTGGACAAATGGACGTGAGTGGATGAGAATTTCATCTGGCCCCATTACCCTTCCTCATTTCATTAAAAAGTGTGTGCATGCACGTATATCCCGCAGAGGCCAGAAGAGGGCACTAGATCCCCGGGAGGTGAAGTTACAGGAGGTTATGAGTCACCCAATATGGATGCTGGGAACTGAACTCTGGTCATCTCAGAGCAGCAAGAGCTTTGATCCGAGTCATTGCTCTTACCTTCCATCTCCCCCCCCCTTTTTTTTTAAACCAATGGCCATGCATTCAGCCCCCCCCTTCCCATGTGCTCTGCGTTCTCACACCTCAAGTTTTCCCTCAGGAATATTGTTAGCTTTCTTCTGATTGTTTTACCTTCTTTCCTTCTGTAGATGTTTTGGACAAACACATTTGCATATTCCCACCTCTCTCATTATGCTAACTAAACAAATCAACAGGCCAACACTCACCCAGACATCAGCACCTCCCCCAAAAGCCCTTGTAAACCACACACCCTCCAGGAACCACATTCTGTTCCCTCCATTCCCCAACTTCTCTCCTGTTTTACTTATATTTTCTCTGTCCAAATCCTTAGCTCAAATTCCCTTCACAAACCCTCAGATCTGGCTTCCATATCAACTGCTCTAAGGGGCAACTCTTACTGTGGTCACCATCATTTCTGTGCTCTTTAGAGCAAGCTGCTTGTAGAATTATCCAAGACATGCGACCATTTCTGAAGCCCTTCTTTCCTCCCATGATCTCACAGCTCTGGGACCCACCTCCAACTCTTGGCTTTTTTATTCAGTCTTTCACCTCGCCTGAAAACGTGGAGTGCCCCAGGGCTCAGGCAGAGCCTGTATTAGTTGGTTTTCTCGAAGCTGTGACAACACACTTGACAAAATCGACTTGGGGAAAAATGGTTTGTTCCGGCTCACAGTTTGGGTGTGCAGTCCACCACGGCAGGAAGGCGTGGCGGCAGGAGTGTGACCAGCTGGTTACATCACCATGGCAGTGGAAAGCAGAGAGAGATGACTGTTGTTGTTCAAACTGCTTTCTTTTTATTAATTTGAGCTGCCAGTCCAGGGAATGATGCTGCCCGCATTCTGGGTGGATCTCCTCTCCTTAGGTAAACCTCACTGGAAATGCCCCTCTGGACACACCCGTGAGCAGTCTCCTAGGTGATCCCGAATCAAGAGTGATCATACGTAGTCTTTTCTCTTTCCACATTTAGCCACCCACGTGGCTTCAGTCATCACCTTTGTACGCTTTATCTCCAGCCATACTTGTCTGAACTGTCTAAGAGACACATCAATGGTGCCTTCAGCTCCCCGCTGGACTTTTCCCCAGCCATGAACCCAGGATGATATGATTATTTGTTCACTTTAAATCTCAATGGAGATTCCAGTGTCCAGGGGCTGGAGAGTCAGCTCAACATTCAAGAGCACTGGCTGCTCTTACAGAGGACCCGGGTTTGGGTCCCAGCACCTTTATGGTGGCTCACAACCACCTGTAATTCCAGTTCTAGGAGATCTGACACCCTCTTCTGGCCTCCACAGGTACTATGCACACATGGAGCGTGCGCGCACACACACAGAGACAGAGACAAAACACTTATACACATAAAATAAAAATAAATCTCAAAAATATTTGTCTCCATAGATGATAACACATTGTATAATTTTAGCTTTAAAATGGTGTATTATTTATATAATAATTTAGATTACCATAAATCTTGTTTATCTTGCTCCATTATAGTAACTAATGTTCATATCTAAAAATTTGCCTCATGTGTTATCTATGTGCTTGAAATGCCAAACTTGGGTTACAGATGTTCCTCCTCTTAGAGTTGCTATGAGCAGAGAGACTTTGTTCATCAAGAAGTAACTCTTGATGGGCAGAGGTGGTGCACGCCTTTAATCCCAGCACTCGGGAGGCAGAGCCAAGTGGATCTCTGTGAGTTTGAGGCCAGCCTGGTCTACAGAATGAGATCCAGGACAGGCATCAAAACTACACAAAGAAACCC